GCAGCCCCGCCCCGCCCCGCCCCGCGCCCTGGGCCGAGCATGCGCCGCGGGCTGTCCGCGAAGCACTAGTTTCCTGTGACCCCCGGTAGCGGTGCTGCTGCCGCCAGAGCTGCTCCGCGCGTGGCCGGGCCGCCGCCGCCATGGGCCGCAGGAAGCTGCACCGGCCGATTGCGGCCATGGCCAAGAAGATCCGCGAAAACCGGGCGCTGAAGAACCAGCCGTGCGACTCGCAGCGCTTCTCCCTGGACTATGAGACCATGACGCGGCCGTTCACCGGGAAGCGCCTGCCCGTGCTGGCCTGGGAGGACGTGCGCAACGAGAGCCGCCTCTTCGTGCTGCTCGCCCGCCTGCCCTTCTTCGGCATCGGCCGCGTGGTCACGCGCAAGTCCTGGCTGTGGCAGTACGAAGAGCCCTGCTACTGGCTCATCACCAAGACCTGCGTGGATTACACGGCCGAGGTGAGTCCTCGCCCGGGCCACTCGTCGGTCCCGTGGGATCGCCTCGGCCGCTGCAGGATCTGGCTCCCAAATCCCCGCGGCGCTCTAAATTGGGGCCTTTCGGGTTTGGCTGCACGCCGCATTGTCTCCTGGGGAGTCCTGTGCGCTGGAGAAGGCACCGCGGGGACCCTTGCGCTGGGAGCAGCGCCTGGCTGCAGCAGCGGGGCCCACCAGGTGCCGCCTGCCCTGCTCTTCAGAGCAGTGATTGTGGCGCCTGGAACATGGATTGTAAAACAGATCCTGCAAACGCTGCTGCGCTGTCTAGACCACTGCAAAATGGGCCTCTAAATGAGAGGCACAGAGGGATTTGGTCCCGGTGTGAGAATAGCACCTTAACGGGTGCTCAGGTTGCAGGCCTCGCCCCTCCCAAAGCAGGCTGCGCTCCTGCATTAGATGATGAAGCTGTTTAGAGAACTTGTCCTCTTTGTGAGTGGGAAGGCTTCTTTACTTAATTGCACTGAATTCTCATGTGTTTTCTTTGCAGAATTTGGATCACGGAAAAGCCTGGGGATACCTGACATTCAGAGGTAATGAAGAACTTGCCCTATGTCTCTCAAGCGAGATTAGAGAACATATTTCTGCCCCAAACCAGGGAATAAACCAGAAGGGAGAAAAGACAGTTGTGCTCTTACAACTCCTCACTCTCTCTCCTTCTCAGCCCACTAACTGGACAAAGGAAGAAAATCTCTCTGGCATGATTTTACAAGGAAGTGCAATAATTTATGTAATTTCAAGATAGTCTGGAAAAAGCCACAGAGATTGTACCATAGTGAACAATGTCCTGCTGGCAGGGAAATGGATGACTTCGCAATTGGTTCTTTTCCGTTTTTTAATTTTATCATAGCTAATTTCAGTGGATAAACACATTTGATGTTTCTGCTCAGATGGATAGCAGTGTTATTTGCAGTATCATCACTGGGGTACCGAAGTAATATTTCATTGTGATCAATGAGGAAATTCTCTTCTCTCCATGCTCTTTTAAATCATGTATGGAGTGCATCCTTTATCAGTTAAGCTTGTGCTTCAATACTGTCGCATTGTTCATTTGAGGGTCTCACAGTGTTTCTCTTAAGTATTATTAAACTCCCCAACATTTCTGCAGAGTGGAGAAGTTGAGGAGCTAGATGTCTGAGGAAGTCACCTGCAAAGTCAGGACTGAACACGGTTGCCCTGTCAGTTAGTTCCCCTTGCTTCTTGTTTATACCACCTGGAATGAGAGTAGAGTATGCTAGTGGTAGATATAGTGTAAGTGGCAAAATACCCAATGCCATTCCCAGCTGGAGACTCCTCTACATGCTTATATAGTTTGATGGCGTTAATTATTAATTCATTATTATCTTCCCTCAGGCAAGGCAGAAAATGAAGTAAAAGAGATTGATAAGGTCATGTACCATGACTGGCGTTTGGTGCCCAAACATGAGGAAGAGGACTTCAAGAAATGTACCCTGGTGCCAGAGGAAACCATCCGGTATGTGCCGTATCCACCTCTGCTCCGAGCCATGATTTTTGCTCAGAGGCAGAAGGAAGGAAAACCGAACACGGAGGAGCCGATGCTTGATCTGGAAAGAGGGATCTCCAGAACAGACTCCATTGAAAATGTCAAGAGAACTGAAGGGACACCAGTGTGAAGGTAGTGTTGAGTGACTGAGTATGGTGCCCCCTAGGTCTCTTAATCGCCAACTGATCTCCTTAATGAAGAAAATGATTCCATAAGCCACAGGCATGTTTCTGGTTTATCAAGTGTTATCACCTCAGTTTCTCTTCCTATTCCTGGCACGTGCCAGTGTACACATTTCTTACATGTATTTGGAAAGATGCAGACATGCTTAGGATTCTTGGTAATCTCTGTAGAGCATCTTCTCTGTTGTTCTCTGCATTTGTTTTACAGCTCCTATCCTCTGGGCCCTGTGACTGGGCACAATTTCCTTTAGAGCCCACCTCTGAGAATTAAAAAAGGACACTGTCAAGTTGATTAGATCCCCAAACCAATGTAAAAGCACAGACAAGGGCCTATAAGAAGTCACCATCTTGCTCCATAGAGTGTGCTCCTGCATGTATGAGTCTTCCCATCTGATTTTTCCTGCAGCACAGACATGATGTTGGCTACAAATGTTCAACTCAGGATCCTTAAAATTCTGGTTTATTAGGCAGATTGAAACACTGTAATGAAGTCAAATCATAACCTTGGGGCTGGTCTCCTCGCGCACACACGCACGCACACACACACACACTAGTGCGCTACAAATGTTTGTTGGGGGGGGCACCAGAGTCGGGTATACCTATCCTACAAAGCGCTGGAGTCTGCCATCGATGGCCAGTCGAGGCTTCTTCCAGCGTGGTGTTATCCTCCAGAAGGGGGTCGCCGGCTGGTCCTTCTGGCTGGACAGGTTGGGTGCTGGACAAGTTGGAGATCAAGAGGGTGCCCCTGAGGGTCACTTTTCACTGCTTTTTATCTGTCCTTGGCAGACTTTGGTGACTCCCCAGTTTTCAGGTTTGCCCAATCCAGGGGTCGTTGACCCTCGTGGGACTTCCTCCCCGGTGACTACTGGATGGCACCTGTCAGCCCCAGGGGTCGTCCGCATGTACATGCAGGTTTGGGAGTCCGTTGATGAATTTTGATTAATTTACCGCTGTCATGAATAGGGCTCTGGGAGCAGTCGATCTGGAGATATTCATCCCCAAAAGTTGGTCCCCGGTGTTGATTAACTCAGACGGGGCTTCTAGCCCTTGAACAGTGAAGTTTAGAGAATTCCTGTTTGCTACATTGTCTCCTATTGATTTCTTCCGTTGCTTGATCTGGGGTGTAGGTATTAATTACCGCTTGTTACTGAAGCCTGCTACAGCGTTATGCATTCAATCACTGATTCACTTGTTCTTTCAGGGGCCCCGCCTGATACAGGGAAGCCCAGGTTTGATTCCTGCCCTTGTTAACATTGTTACAGTGTATAACTTCTAAAAACTAAAACACATTTAGTTAAAAGGTGAAGAGTATAAAATATAAGCTACGAGAGTAATGCCATGGCAAACAAATAGATAAAAGTACCAAAATACAAGGGGAGATATAAAATGCACACATACAAACTTTAAAACACAATTCCTTATCTTATAGTGAAAGAAAGAGGGAGGAAAAAGAGGTAGAAGAGGAGAAACATATCCAAAGAGGGGAAAGCAAATGCAGGCAAGAGGAAAAGGGGGTTTTCTGCTACAATGAGAAAACAAGTTTGGTTCTCTTTTGGCTTGTTACTTAGACCATCAAAACTAAGTGCGAGCTGCAACACGTAGTCTCACCAGCTGAGGGCACTGCTTCGGTTGCATCTCTGTCAAACCCCCTGGGTCACCCTATGATGGGGATGGGCAAGAAGGAAGGATCCCACTTGGTCTTTCAGATCCCAGGCTGTGTTGGTATTTGGCGGGGAGGAGGAGAGACCTCCTCTTGTTAACAGAATATAAGTGTATTTGCTCTTATTCCTGCGGAAGTCATTGGCAAAACTACTGTGTATTTCCATGAGAGGACTTTTGTCACATGGGTCTGTGAAAAGCAAAAGTGTGTCAGGGAGTCCTCACCCCTTGGGCTGTGCCACTGTCCCCTCCCTGGCACCTCAGCCACAATCATGGTGCTCAGCATGGAGGAGGGAGGGTGAGGGGTAGTTTCAAGTGAGCTGAGATGTGCAGGGCCCTGGTCACTCCCCACAGTAACTAAGGTGACCCAAAGAACAGCGGTCCCAGGCCATGACTCGGTTTCCCTGCTGAGCTGGCCAGGAGCTGCTTACCTCGGAGGTGGCGGCAGCACACAGACATCTGGACCTGGATGGACGGTATAAAAAGCCTCCAGGGAGGGTCTGGGCCCTGGCGGGGGAGCTGTGCGCAGCTCGGGCCCACGTCTCTGCCTCACCCTGGCGGGAGCCGGGAACTTACCTCAAGCCATGAGGGAGCTGGCTTGGGAGGGC